CTAGGCAACGCACAATCAGAATAATATACGGGCTTTGTTGGTTGATAGTTAATCAGTTAAAAAGTAGGTTACGTAACTGAATAATTTCACCACGGAGATAATATTTGATAAAACGAAACTATTGTCCCTGTTGAGTTTTGCTTGTCTTCAAAAAGGTGTTATTGAATGATTATTTTTTGTTAGATTTCTTGAAAAAATAGTTAGCTGTTTTGACAAAACATTTAATTGAATTAATTTCAGACAAAGATATCACCAATATTTTAGTTATGTTTTATTATACGTCATAACGAAAACGTTACAAAATTAAATCTCACTTATGGACAATGTAATATAAAATATAATTTTGTTTGGTTATTTTAGGTAACATTATAAAATTATCTCTAGTTATAATACATGGATTTATTAATGTCATACCTATAGTTTTATCAACGTAGAAACAATAGAAAATTCTAAAAAACAAATAAATACGGGTAAATTGTTTGGGAGTGCAATTTTAACGTTTGTTAATCAAACCAGTATTGCAAAGTTGGTCACACATGTGTTATTTATTTTTCTCCTAAACTTAGTTGAAAAAAAAAACAATAAACAAATGTAAATGTATACCAACTCCTTTGCACTATAGTCGAAGCATTTGTATGTAATTTTGTTAACTCCTTTTTACAATTTTCGTCTTTTACAGAAAATAGTATTCATTTATATTTAATGGGTTTTACGGTTTGTCTTAGGAAAACAAAGATCAATATAACTTAAATATGAAAAGCTAGATCTCCACTCTTTTCTTCGTGTTTAATTAGCTTGTTTGGGCGTATATTGGATTATACTTTTACCAACTCATATTGCAATAGTAAAGTGATTAGGCATAGCTATCACATTAGTTTTAAATATTATGCCATGTTTATGTAAATACAACCATGATGGTAGGCTAATGTTGCTTAAAGGGTTATTACAGACACTTTTCATCACACATGTAAAACACTCTACCCAACGTTTCAGCATCTAAAAACTCATCTCGTACACAAATGAGAAAAAACTTAACACATTGTAACATTGTAACTTAACATATTGTACAACTAACAATACACAAACTCCAACCTAAGTTGGAATACACTTCAGAGAACATTCAAGTATAGGCTATCCACTGTATAGCAGTCAAGTCATGATCCTAAATGCAAAATACAACAAATCAAAACACAACAAAATCTAAAATGTAATAAAAGAAAAAAATAAGATATGTGGTTTCAGCTGTTAGCCTATGATAAATACATAATACAATAAAGTTAAAATAAAGTTAAAATAAAGTTATATGATAACTAAAAAGTGAGAAATAGTGACAAGTTCTCACACAATATCTTTCGTCAAAGTTTGGCAATTTTTGGTGCAGGTTTTGCCTTTTTTGAGCTGTCATTGGTTGGAGGAATAAAAATAACTTTAGATGAACGGGATTTTATTTCTTCCACGGTCAACGTTCAATTAAATATGCATTCTCATATACAGTCAATTTAAATATAATTTCAAAATATAATTGCTTTATTTTTCTTGAAAAACAATCTTTCTTTTATTTTCATTATAATTTTTCTATATTTTAAGAAATATATGGGGTTTTGTAGAACTATTTAGTTTTAATTATTGAAAAGTCAAGTAACATTACTGTGCGCAAAACCTATACAAACAATTGATTGCAAAGAAGATGCTTTGTTCTCAACCACAGTTTATTTATCTTTCATATTGTCCCACTTATGTTCGTATTTTAACTAACTATGAATGTAGAATGAAGTATTCACCTTTCCAAGTCGATGTCAGTACTGATCACGATACCGTTACAATCGACACGTAACTAGTCTAAACCTTGTTAATAATTTTAAAATAAACTAACTACAATTCCTTCTATAAAAAAAAAAATAATAATTAAAAATTTATTTAAAAAAACTTGTATTCGGTTTAAAAAATATTCTTTCCAAGCTAGAGATGTCTGATATGTCTAAAATAGGTCAAATTGTTATGAAGTTTATGTGCAGTTTTATTTTATTGAATGCTACAGAGAGTAAAATGATGATTTAGTTCAGAAAGCGTTTTATACTCAGATTTATAAGTTCCGCTCGAGCTTTAATAGTTTATGAAGCAATATAGCATTTAATAAGTTTATACCATAGCATACCGTGAATTTAAAGAACCAAATTCTATCAAACTGTGTCCACTCCCATTGAAAACACAAAGCTTGAGTATAACTGCAATACGCATTTTACACCTATATGCCAACCGCGTACAAAGGACGGATACTCTGCTATTAAATAAATAAATAAAGCAAATAACTCAAAACAACATTCGATAACTTCCATTCACATAATAGTGCAGCTTGATTATCAGCATACTTGTAATTCCTTAGCATCCAGAACCTAGAAATTTTCAAATATATTTCCATCCCTGTTTTATTTATCAGTTAACTAAACCTGTAAAAACATGAAGAAATAAGGGTTCACTAACTTAATCCGTTACCAAAGACACCACTGTCGAGTATAATTATTTATCTCATACGGCAACACCCAGTCGTAAATATCCATTACTTTCAAAAGATATAAGAAATCATCGCGGCCAATTGTATCATTGTTTGAAAGATTGGTATATCAACCGCATACTCCTCAGTGTTGTTTGCATACACATTCCTTTCACAGGGTAGGTAGACAATAAGAAGCGATTGTTGTATAATAAATTTATTCCTGAAAGACGAATATATACAAATAAGAATCCTTGTCCCTGGATCAAGTGTGTTAGGTAAAATATTTGATAAACTTGTGTTTCAGCAAATCTCTAGTTATATTTGTGATATTAATAAGTTGTATAAATACCGATCAGGCTATAGTTTTAACTATAGCACCCATACTGCATTGGTGTCAATAACTGATGATGTAAGAAGAGCAATGGACAGTCGTGAAGTTACTATTATGGTTTTGTTAGATTTTTCTCGTGCTTTTGATAGTGTCCATCATAAAATGTTACTGGCATTTATGAGATCTTTTTCTTTTAGTGATAGCGTTGTTAGTTGGTTCGAATCATATTTATCAGATAGACAACAAAGAGTTAGAACTAGTAAAGGTTCATTGTCAGAATGGAAGTGCAATCCCATTGGCTCTACCTTGTCTGCAATGTTATTTTCTCTATACATCATTAAAATTTGCGATTCATTGGTTTTTACTAAATCTATTCTCTGCGCAGATGATTTTCAATTGTATTTACATGCTCCTGTTAAAAATATTAATAATGCTATTGATATGTTAAACACTGATTTGGACACTTAATTAGAGTGTTGCAATGGTCATGACCTAAAACTAAATATAAATAAATAAATATAATTTTAGGTACTAGCAGACTATTGAACACAATAGATTTGGAAGTGGTCCCTAAAGTAATGATAGATAACAATGCTTTAGAGTATCAAACTACTTTTAAAAACTTAGGTTTAAGAATGATGAACAGCTTATCATGGTCCGAACAAGCTAGTTACATACACAGA